CTGCTCCCATGCTACAAGACACTGGCCCCCCTTAGCACTATTCTTTCCTTGCCACAAAAAGCCTCTCAAAACCTGTTCAAGATTTTGGATGGACTACATGGGCCATAAGAAACAACATATGAAATAGTTGAGGATTGCTACACGCATAATAACCTGAATAATAAACAACCCCGGTTCCATGAGGAAAGAAGTTGCTTGATCTTTATGTGGTCATGCAATGATCACGGATAATGGTCGAGCTCTTGGTGGATATGTGATGATTATGATGGTGTCATTGATACTGATGTTGGTTGATCACGAGGTGATCGTGTGATGATCACAACGGTAAGATTAATATCTATGGTGGTCATGAGATAACCTCCGAGATGAGTAAGTTGGTCCATGAGACCTAAAACGTTGATTCCCCTGCATATTAGTTCTAGTATCATCATGTTCATATCATGATTAACATGTACATGCCATGTTCACTATCATGTTGTTCTAGTAGTATCATGTTCATCATCAATAATTAACCTATAATTTCCATGCTATGGTTTGTCTTGATTGCTTTTGGTTGTGGTGATCTTGTGAGTACATTCAAATTACTCACCTTGTGTGTCATGCTAGATTGCAGGTGATGCCGTGATTGATTGTTCGTCGAGGATCCCAAGTCTGCGAGCTGGGATGTGTCCCAGCCAGAGTCTCTGCGGAGTGGAGTCCATCACCGTCGTCGTTGTTCCGCTGCTAGATGTTATTCCGCTACTATGAGTTATTCCGATGCTAGCATAGAGCCACCTTAGCGGGCATAGCATCGCCATGCCGATGTAAACCTTTGTAATATCCGAACCCTTCTACCCATATTATTTGTAATAAGAGTTGTCCTGTTTTATGCCAAGTGGTGTCGTATTTCAGAAGACTTGATCTCTGGGCTGGAATACAGGGTATTCCAGTTCCTCTGAGTCAAGGTGCCACACTTCCCGAGCAAAAGCTTTTGCATCAACATCAGGCTTGATTACATCTCCCACCATACTTGCAATCTTTTTCGGCCATGGCAGATATTAGAGGTTGAAAGGTAGATTAATAACTGGCACCCAGAATTGCATCCTCCCAAACTTTCAAAACCGAACAATTCAAAAATAACGAGCAAAGAGTCGGTGGCGATGAAACCAGAGCGGCATGTGCTGGTGAAAGTACCATTATTTTGGAGTAACATTTCACAAATTTCATGTTGGGAGCGGCATCCCCTGAAATGTACTCCAATTTCCCACTTTGCATTTATTTTTCCTGAAGAATTAATCTTGAGCGTCCATCCATGACCCAACGGCGCTACCGGCCAACAGTAGGACGCATGGTACGAGTCCTTGTTCTCCCATACTCTCGGCTTTCTTCCTCCTCTCTCGCCTCTTTCTTTGTCCCCGATCCTTCCTTCGTTCCGCCAATTTCAGAAAAAAATTGGCAGCTTGGGCAAACAATTGCTAGTGTGCTCAACCTTGAGGATCAGTAGCGGGGACAGGAGATGATCACGCAAGCAAAGCTGGTGGAACAGCTGCGGGAGCACCAGATCCGGTCGGCGCAGTCATACTCCGCGGCCCTCGCCGTCTTCTCCCCCAACCCCCACATCGCCTCCAGGCCCGGCCTCCCTATTCTTGATTTTCTTGTTTATGCTAACATCTGATGCGACGCTCTTCAAAATTCATGCGGTTTGGTTTCAACTGAATGGCCCTTTTGGGTGCATCGTCGATTGAACATGAGGATTGGACGGATTCATGCGGTAGATTGCAGCTCATGTTGTGTACTTTTGCTTCCTTGATTATATGGATCTTTGCTGATCTGAATAGCTCGTGGTTGCGTTTTGTTTCTTGGTTAGTTCTTGCCGGTGACGACAGGGAAGGGATTTTAATTACCGTTGTTATTTGGAAATTGTGTGATATGGTTATGAGCAGATATTAATTGAGTGGGAAAAGCATAATCTTTTCTGCTAATTAGAGGTAAATGCGTTCAGTTGGAGGCATAATAGCACATCAAGACAATTGCAAAGCTACTATGCTTAATTAGCATTTGGATAGAACTTGTGAATTGCTTGGATTGCTTTCGAAGCGAAGCTCTCCGAGAGATGGAGTATTTACAGCAACACTGTTGAATAAGAACTTTCTGTAGGGTTTACATTGTTTTTTGGTTTTCTGTTGTTGAGCCAATAATGCTGCAATGGACGGATAAAAGGAAGAATAAGCTGAGTGCCTTCGCTATCATTACTACAACCTCCGTATGGAAATACTTGTCGGAGAAATGGATAAAAATGGATGTATCTAGAACTAAAATATGTCTAGATACATCAATTTCTCCGACAAGTATTTCTAGACGGAGGGATTATATGAGTAAAACTTGGCACCACCTGCATCAAACACACCTGCCCTACGTCAAGGTTTGGTCTAAAACAGTAGTTGTTCTCACTTGGCTGCTAACCATCCTTGAACCTAGAGACTGGCCTGGCCCTAAATCGATGGTCAAGCCGAGCCCAAGTCGCTTTACCGTGGGCTAGGCCATGCTAAGTTTTCTCAAGTCTAACTTGCACCACTTACACACTTAGATGCATCATGCATAGATTTCGAAATGCGCTTAGTATGTTGGAATGCCGCATTGCTTAGCACTGCTTGCCTATCTTTTGCTTGAAGTGTACAGAGAGTGTGCAAGAGGATATAACTGCGTCAAGTAACATACTGCAGTTCATACAGACCGCTAGCGTACACCATCTCAGGTTATGGCCTGTTGTCTTTGCTACTTAGGGCTACTGAACTGTTGAATGGCTGTAACACCACACTCTCTAAAAGTAGAAACCCTCTGCTACTATGACAACATCAAAGATAAATGAGCAACTAATGCTCTGGAGCACCATGGACCAGGACGCCTAATAGCATGGGTGTGCAATGTCCAGAGATTTGGGCTGCTACCTTTCTGTAGGACTCACTTATGCCACTGTTCTCTATCTCATCTGTTTATTCCTTTATTGCTTGCTTACATTTTCTTTACTTTAGTACTCCCTCTGTAAACAAATATAAGAGTGTTTAGATCACTAAAATAGTTATCTAAACGCTATTATATTTCTTTACGGAGGGAGTACTTTGCTTGCGTTCTCCACTTCTCTGCATGTAATTTCGGTTTTTTCCTGGCCACCTTTTTGCTTTTGTAAATCTGACTTTTCATATTTTGGACCGGCAGGTCCTTTCTCTACCTTATTTTTGAAGCATGATTGATTACATTACATGTTACACGGCATGGGAGCGACTTGGTGTCTACATGGCATTTCACATAGTCCCCTATCCCAGGCCTAGATGATAGCCACGTTACTTTTCCATTACTTCCAAATTGATGGATGGATTAAAATGGTACACATCACATAGTGCATACTTAGTGGTCTGCCCAAAATAAGTCGTCGCTTGACCTATCAGGAATGTGATACAGATTTAGGAACATTTAATCCAATTCTTTCCATGCAGGACATAACAACACCTTTTGTACTGTTTGATAACCAGAATTAGGGAGTTTAATTTAGAGGGGTCATAAGTCATAACTCATAAAGTGAAAGGCTCATAAGTAGGGTTTAATCTGGAGAAGCCATTTCTTTCCTTGCCTATCCTTTGAAAGAAATTCAAATAGTGAACTTGAAATTGGCATTAGAAGGAACTTGTCGTACACCTATTAGAAGGAAGAGGACATGTCTATTCCTATTACCTGTGATAATATGTTTTGTTTGGCAGAATGAGGCTTTGCTGGTGGCCCTCTCACTCCTGTTTCATAATCGCATATCTGTAGAACTGGTGGTCCTTTCTATGTAAGAAGTTGCCATGAGTTAATGTTGTTGGCAAGGGTGGGAAGTTGGTAATTGGCATGACTAGCAAAGCTAGCTCTGAGCATAACGCAAGTTAGCCAGCAATCTAGCTGGACATAAACAGCCATGGCGCCATGTAAAGTCAGCTATATACTGCAAGAATGTGAGTCCCATGATCAGTCTGAACCTGTGAGGAAAGTGTACTTTCTAGAATAACAGATAATTACAGCTCAAGAGAATAAGCATGTTCTGTTCTATTAGCATGAAAGAAGCCTCTAGTAAAGGAAGGGCAGCCCGGTGCATGTAGCTCCCGCTTGCGCAGGGTCGGGGAAGGGTCCGACCACTTTGGGTCTATAGTACGCAGCCTTTCCCTACATTTCTGTAAGAGGCTGTTTTCAGGACTTGAACCCGTGACCTCATGGTCACAAGGCAGCAGCTTTACCACTGCGCCAAGGCTCCCCTTCTAAGCCTCTAGTAAAGGAAAAGAAGGGTTAATGGTCTTATGTTTATTTCTTCTCAGTTCTGTTCTATTTTTCACTAAGTTTTGTCATGGTCTATTTAAATGAGTAAACCACGCTGCATAAAAAGCTCAATGCAAATCTGATGACTTGACAATTGTTCAATATGGCCTTACAAAACATGATACAAGACTATCCACATAGAGGGTAGCGACTCAGAAGTCATTACAAATCTTATGCTTGGAATATTGCTGCTTTCATGCATGTCTTTCAATAGAAAATTGCAGGATTCGACTATTTTAACTTTAAACCCCTCTGGAACAATTGGGCCAAATTAGGAACACTATTTTAGCACAAGTAATTTCAATCAGTCTGCATTTGATGACATTTGCTTATGCTTAGCATCAAAGTACAAATGTTTGTGCTTTCGTTGCAAGTAACTTCAATGCACATTTTATGAGTATATGTTTCATATCTACTCGAACGGGAAGCACTAACCTTCCGGTTCCAATGGTTCACCAAAGCTAAAACTAAAACTTGAATTTGGAGCATGTCCAAACAAAATACTGTACTGATCTGCATGTAAAATTGGATTGACAAATGGTCGTTGCCACAAGCATCCCATAAAGTACATAAAGTTTGAAGTTCAAAATCTGGACAGATTCATGACACTCCATACTTAGTCGATACTTTACTGTGTCACCTATTTCTGGAGTGAAAACATATTTGGTACTTAGTTTTATCTAATCGATGCCTATCATCCAATAAACCATTTTAAATTTCTGTCTGCAATATTTGTGGCATTTTCACACATGGATCTTTCGCTGCCTATGCATTGTATTAAGGCTCATAACATTTTCAAAAGTTAGTGGTGTTGCTAATATATGTTGTGCTAGGTATAGCCATCTCATTTGGTGCACCGCATTATTCACATACTTATAATTCCATTCCGGTTGTCATTCTGGTTGAGTGTTTGGCATGATGGAACGTTTTGGTACTGGAGCGTTCCAGGATTCCGTTCTGGTTTTCAAAATTTTGTATGGATATACTTTTTTATATACACACATGAGGAACACATACCATAAAAAACAATGAAAAAAACTATGGGCAAAAGGGATAAATGGTTGGCTGGTGCACCGCCCTTCGCATCAAACTAGTGTGCATGCCATCCCCTTGCAAGAGCAAGAGGTCTCTATAGGCTCATATTTGCAAAGGATTACAGGCCCAATATTCCCTGCCCTTTTCTAGCAATTATTACAACGTGGAATCTCCCAAGTGATAGTAAGAATCAGTGTGGCTGATGCCTTTATAAAGAAACATCAGCAGAGCTGTCCGTATGGACCGGTACTAGTACAGCCAGCCAGAATGGCTAGAATTTCGTCTAGTAAGGGATGTAGGCGTCTGCATACCGTTTTGGTCATGAATGATCCGGCGATTTCAGCTGGGACTGAATGGAACTAATAAGTTTGATTATTAGGCCATTTGGTTTGCATTTAAATTAATCATGTAATGTTAGAGGAAAAAGAATCATGTAATTATTCAGAATAAGCTTCTTTTATTGATAATAATTGCATTTGAACTAATCGCTAAAACGGAGGAGTTCCATATCCCTTATCTCCTAGAATGAATGTTGAACAGTACCAGATTAAACCAAATTTGTAATGATATCTGAACTTAGCTCATGGTAGGATAAGGAAAGAGAAGTTTTTTTTTAAACGGAATAAGGAAAGAGAAGTTGAGTTCAAAGTAGTGCAGTTTCATGTAACGAGCCTGGGGATATACAATTTGCAAACCCTGGCTGATTTCGAAGCACACACTAGCATGAAGAGAGTGTTTAGCTGCTGCAAATGCGCTCTATTGTATCTGCAAAATTAAATGCTACTCCCTCCATTCACAAATACAAGATGCTTTGGATATTTCAATATGGTCTCCATATGGATTAAAATGAGTGAACAAACACACTAAAACATGTCTGTATACATCTGATTCAGAAAAAAAGTTAGAACATGTTATATTCGCGTGAACGGAGGGAGTAGCTATCAAGTTTGAGCTAGCCTAAAGGAAGTAGTATTGTCAATGCAATGTGCTCTAGTTATTTACAGTTCTGAAATATTTTGGTTATTAAAAAACGATCATTTTGGTTATCCTGTTTATGCTCTAGTTAAAGACCAGCCTACTTGCTTATTGCCATTTGATTCAGTTTTTCTTAATCCCGTGTTCTTTCCTCTTTCAGGCGGGACCTGAGGGTGGCTCTCCTCTATGCCTTTTTGTTCTGTTTTCTCATGGTGTCGTGCTATGCCGCGCTTTACCTGAAATGGTTCAAGCTCTCGTCCCTCTTTGTAATCCTCGGAATCCTTCTCCCAGTAAGTCTCAAAATCTCTAGGAATAGAAGGCTCAAAAGGAAAAGAGAGCGAAGATTGCCGTTGCCCTTGTCCATGTGAATATCTTTCTGATACCCTGTAACATTTTAGTGAAGTGGCTCAACTACAAAGAGGAAAAATCCTGGGTTTACTCAATTCTCCGGCTCAACCTATGCCCTTGAATATGTTGTATCTATTACCTGTTTTCCCTTTTTGTCCATGCATGCACATAGGTCGCTCGTCTCAGCTTTCGCCTTCTTTTCAAACTTGTGTCAATTGCAAAGTAATGCCGTCTTTAGAAACTTATGAAAGGGGATCTCTTCAGATCCCGGTGCATTTTGGTTGTGGCTGCAATCATGTGAAATATCTGGTCAATTGTCGCATCAGTCGGTCCGGTGTGCCAAGCGAGCCGCTTTAGCGTTATTTAGCATACCAGGTGTGAATATAAACTTTCATCTCAGGCTTCCAGCTTCTCTGTCGCAGTTCGCCTAGATTTATTATTTTTCTTGTGTTTCTGTTGTCGGCAGATCGTCCCACTGCACAGCGTTGCTATTTCAAATTCTCTATCCTTTCACGCACACTGTTTCAAGTATGCCCTGCCTGCAGCCTGGGTTTCTTGAGCTCGCCATGCCTGGTAAATGCACCACCAGGATAACTAGTCCTAGGCGGAGCAGAAACAGTGCGGTTCAGGCGCACCGCTGTTGCTTATATGGAGTAGTTTAAAATCTGCGCCTAGCATCTGATCTTTTAGGTTCAGTTTATCCATGCTACTGTACAGAAGCAGTAACAATGTAACCCGGTGCACGATTCGTGATCTGACAACGGGATCTTGTGCGTTATCGCGACATCGTCTGTCATGGACAGGTCAGGCAAGGGCTTAGGGTTAGGGGTGCAAGCGGCGTCCTGCTTTTTTCTGTGAAACCTTTAAAGCTCAAACTAAAACCAGGTTAGTTATTTCCGAACGGGGAGAGTAGCCCATAATTTACTCATCACTTGTCTAAAATTAACGCTACATTTGTACTTCCTCCGTTCCTAAATATAAGTCTTTTTACATTTCAAAAGGACTACAACATATGGATGTATCTAGACGTATTTTAGAGTATAGATTCACTCATTTGGCTTCGTATGTAGTTACTTGTTGGAATCTTTAGAAAGGCTTATATTTAGGAATAGAGGGAGTATTGTAGTATTGTTCTCGGGGCTATGGCGGCATGTATGCGTTATCTGCATCAGTTGCCATTCCGCCGACGCAGCGGCCCCTCCAGTCGTTGCTTCGCCTGATCTACCACGCTCCTCGGCCATCGCTGCCTCTCGCGTCCCGCTCTCGGCTAGTCGGGCCACTGGAATCTGGAGGTCTGTCGCCGGCGACCCGTCGTAGGGTTTCTTTTCCTTATGGTCAAGGCGCGGCCGCGGAACACCTGACAAATCCCGGCGAACCGCGGAGCCGGAGGGCGCGTGATGATCTTTCCGCCCGCGTGGCCGCGTCGCCCAGCACTTGCCGCCGGCCCACGCGGGCTACTGCTCGGCCTCGGTTTGACGCCTGTACGTGGTGCTCCAGAGGTGTGCTGTGCCCGCCAAGTTGTGACCACCATCGGCCATGTTCCCAAAGTCTACTCGGCCCTCCATTATCGCCACATTGCTGTGGTGTGCACGTTTGCACACCACAAGTGGACGGATTTGTCGTCTACCACGCCGCGGGAAGGAATCATCGTCCAGTATCTATCTCGCTCGGACCGCCGGGCTCGACTTCATCATGGCAGCTTCAGACCAGACGGCGGCAAATATCCGTGCCACTCGAAATTCCATCACATGCTTGCACAATTTGCCACCTTTGAGTGCTTCCGTATTTTGACTGCCCAGCTGCTTCATGTGCGTGCGTGCGTGCACTCGACCGTCAAGTAGCCTATCCCTATCTACCTATCATCCAAGCATGTGTGTTCAAGTAGCTCTGCCGCGCCGCTCGTGATTTCTGCGTTTAGTGGGCAAATGCATGTGTCCACTCACACGCACGCAGTGCCCAAGGTGGGCCGAGAAAGCCATTTATAGGTTATATATAGGGCCTTCCCTCCATCTTTTACCAGAAAGGCCCGCACCTCGCAGGGCCTACGTACGTCGTGGCGTTGCACGAGCGAGCGCCTCCTAGGATACCTACCATATCCAGCGACTGGCATAGACAACAATTTCACTATATCAGTGTGTCGTTGACCACTTGGCATCATCTGCATGCCGAGTAGTACAAATCCAAGCTTTTTCCATCACTTGATAAAAGGTTGTGCCCGGCGCCAATGTGTCTTTCGCTGTCTCGAGAGCCCCTGCATTTGCGTCTTCTTCAGGTAGTCTTTTTTTTGTTTGCGAGGTGAGCTTTACGCGGCAAAATAGGGGAAAGCAAGAGCATTTCATGTCTGTGTCCCCGCGAGTGCCCAACGGGACGATAAGCTGCGATGTTACGGCCAACTGGGCCGTGACAAGTGGCCGTGCCGAATGATGGCATTGCCCATTTAAGCCCTGGTGATGCGATGCAGCAACCCAATTCAACACACTTCAGCATGCACTCACCCTTTTCCATCTAACCTGGTCAGTTAGTTCTTGGGGACATTAATCTGATGCTAAGCTCATCAAGTGGCCCTTTGATCTTAACACCCTCTTTGTCTGTCGAGTAGTCGACACATCCTTGTGCACTTGCGTTCGCGCTTTTAATTTTTTTTTTATATAGGCGAAAGTATATGTAGAGTCTAATGTATGGAGGCCTTTCTTTCTTTTCGCTCCCTGCATCATCTTTTTGTTCATGCACGTTCGTGAATCATGGTGTCGAGGGACATCAAAACATATTTCCCGAGACTTGCTGTTCTATTTCCCTTTCCCTTTTTTAACCTGCTGATGATGGTTGGCACAGGGTCTGCCGACACGTCTTCTAGTAGAATGGGGTCAAATCAGCTCTCAGTCCAACAGTTTACAGGGTTCTCTATGCATATGACATATGGTTAATTCGTTACTATCAGAGTTCAGGAAAGCAGGCCAGCCAGAACAGGCTGAGCTAACTGCCCAACATACAATTGTGTCATGCAATAGTATTAATCGCACAGTGCTGTGCGGTGGTTGTCTTGTTTTTTCTTTTCTTTCGACGTGCCTGCCAATCAACAAGCCGACGATGAATACTGTTGCAACTTGCAAAGGAGCTACTGACGACTCATGAGCAGCGGAATGGGCTGGGGTCATGCAATGCAATATGCAAAGCCGAAGCCCATGCATGCATGCAGCACGCATCCTCTTTTTCTAGTCAAAGGAAGACTTTTATTCGGCCATCCTACGCTTAGCACTGTGCGAGCTTTCTGGTGGCATGGCCATGCCTGTACGAGCACCGTAATCATGCTGCACGGGCCATTGCAAAAAGGAGGAAAGATATCGGCCCAAAAGAAACGGCCAAAAGTGCGGCGACGAGACGAAAGAACTGTTGCATAGCTCGAGAAATGGAACTGACTAGAACATGCACGGCAGAAATACCGAAAGTTCACACTGTATCTTCTGGGAAATTGTACTGCTGCTTTCCCGTAAAGTTCCTACGGTGCTCAGGCCGTGAGCCTACTCACGGATGTTGTCGACGTGTTCGATGGACACCCACAATTTCGTCTTGTGTGCCGTTGGGACGTGTGAACTGTTCCTGATTCTTCTGTACATAGTATGCGTTGGTTGAATATTTATTTCGTGTGACGTTTCTCATTTCAAGGGGCCCTGGGTCAGCTGATCTGCATGGTATCGGAGCATGCGCGACAACCTCATTGATTTGGGATGCGGTTGATAGCCTGCATTAGAGCCTGTTTGATTCCAATAAATCACCTGACTTATAAATTAGGTGACTTAAAACCAATGATTTAGAGGATGTTTGTTTCCAGTGACTTTTTTGTGTAGGGATTAGAAAAAGTTTCTTTTAGAGATTTTTTTATCAAACGGGAGGGACTTTTTAGGGACTAAACTAGGCATTTGGAACTAAATGAAGAAGACTCTCAAGAAGAGTTTTTTTTGGACTTTTTGGGACTTTTTCAACAATGCCCCTCCATGCATTTATTGGCCTGCCACCCCATGATGTTGTTTGATTGTTATTTTTCTATATACCAAGGGCAACATGGTTATTTAATAACCTCTAGGAAGGGACTAGAGACTTTTTAGTCTCTGAAAACAAACAGTGAGGGACTTTTTAGGACTAGGGACTTTTTAGTTGGGACTAGAAAAAGTCATAGGACTTATGAACCAAACAGGGCCTTATAAGTCATGCATGTTTGGTTGTCACCTGACTTATAAGTCACCTGACACACCTTCCCACACCAATCCACATCATGCATGTGATGGGACCCACGCAAAAGAGGGTGACTTGTAAGTTTTAAGTTGGGGTGGAGCAACTTATGACTTATAAGTTGGGGTGACTTATAAGTCCGGTCTGTTTGGCAAAATAAGTCACTTTTTTCACTTTTCGACTTATAAGTTGGTGACTTATTTGGAACCAAACAGGCCCTTAGTCAGGCTAGCCCCGCGCGGGATTAAAATAGGTTGTTTAGATGTCTATGTTTACTGTTTAGTCCGCACGAACCTCAAAGCACCCGTCAACCGTGCCCGCTAAGAACGATCGAATCGGCCGTTTTCAGCGAGCCAGACTCGAGCGATGCAGGGAAGGGGAACGCCGCGCCGCGCCGCACAGGGGAGGAAGATGGCGGGAGCGATGGCGCATCTTCAAAAAAACGGCGGGATGAATTCGAGTCACTGCCCGCTGATTCGGTCGCACTATATATCGAAGGTGACCGCCGCGGCAAAACTCCCGCCACCATTTCCCCCCTCTCGAGCTTTCCCTCCAGCGCGGATCCTCTTCACGACGAGGTAAGCGGCGCAACTACTTCGGCAACCGGTTGACTGCGGCGGCGGGTCGACTCCTCCTCCTCTCCGACGTGCAAGGCACCTCCTCCACGGCTGTTCCGATGGCGTCTGTAAGTTCAATCACCACCTCCTCTCTACTAGTTCTAGCTAGATATGTACATGTGCTCTGGTTAGGTTGTCCGATCTGTTTGACTGTGGTGTTGTAGTAGCTAGTTGTG